TTCTCATCCTGAAGCAAAGTTCTTAACCCGAGGTACTATTTCTGGGTTAGCGGAGTCTGTAACCTGAAGCATCTGTAACCTGAAGCGTGTGTAACCCGAGGTACCACTATATAAATAAATTGACAATGATAACCCATTAGCAGGAGCCTATCCTCTGGGTTCCATAGTGAAAGAAAACAAGTGTTCTTCATCATATATGTGACAGCCCTTCAGACGTTTGCAGGGACTTCTTCATTGTCTCAGCCTCCAGTCTCAACATACCCAACGTTTTCAACCTTCCTTATAGGACTCGGTCTCTGGGCCCCTCATCAACTTTACTGCCCTCCTTTGGACACATTCCAGTTTGTTGTTGTGTTGATACCCTCCTTGAACTGTGGTGGGGCTGTTTCAGGCCCCCCTCTCCCTCTTCTCAGGTGCTGCATCAGTCTTTGCATTCACTTTATTTTGTATATATATATATATCTCAGACAAGGCATGCTCTGAGCTGCTGAGGTGTTTGTTGCGTGCCGAGTTTCAAGAGAGAAACCTCATTTCCCCCAGTTTTCTGTTGTTTTAGCTTTTGAGTTAAAAATGCCATCGATGAGCATTTGCCGCAGAGACCTCCTTTTATTGATCTCCCCAAGGCAAGCGTCTGTGGTGCGTTGCCATCTTGGTCACCCTTTGTGTGCCCTCCTTCATTTGGTTGGCTTTTCTCTCCCAGTCAAGTGCGTCTTCGGTTCCCTGAGGCCTGGCACTTTTTAACAACTCTGCCCAGTCATGGTGCTATGGGGAAATGGTGCTGCCGTCCTCCTTGTGGAGAATCTGAGGATGCTACTCTGGAAAACAATGAAAGCTGTGCATGTGGAATACTCTCAGATAGGGCTGGTTTACACATCAGATGCCTTGCTTGCAATATCTATTTTGTGAGATTCACTCATCAGAGCACATTCTCCATGGAGTGGTTTTTGATATCTTGAATTTGTAGTGATGGAACATGTGTGAGCTGTTCATGGCTCCTCTTTTCATGAAGTGCAAGCTGCACACGTTTTTGAAACTTGCACATCTCACCTTGGAGGAGATGCATAATGGTGTGAAACAACTTGTTTTTCTCTGTCAAGATCAGTTTTGGATTTAGAGGGGAGCAGAGCCATTCTCCTGTCTCCTCCAGAAGTCAGAGCAGCTGACAGTAATGGTCACTAATGTGGATGGCTTAAGAAGAGTACCGTATTTTTTGCACCATAACACTCACTTTTTTCCTCCTAAAAAGTAAGGGGAAATGTCTGTGCGTGTTATGGAGGGAATGCCTACGGGTGGCATGCCTACGGATTTTCCTCCGCTAAAAACTACATGCGTGTTATGGTCGGGTGCGTGTTATAGAGCGAAAAATACGGTATTTGACAAATTTGTATGGCTCTACTTGTATGGTTGGTGCCAGTAATGCTTCTGAATACCAGTTGCTGGAAATCACAGGAGGACAAAGCGCTCTTGTGCCCGACTCCTGCTTGAAGGTTTCCCTCAGACATCTGGCCATTGTGAGAACAGGATGCTGGACTAGATGGGCCTTTGGCCTGATCCAGCAGGCTCTTCTTATGTTCATCTAAGGGCGCCATGTTGAGTACCCCTGCCATCCATATTGTGTTGTTGGAGGGGATTCTGGGAAAATATAATGGCGGCTTCCAGGTGCAGCTACCAAAATCACGTTGGCAACAGCAATAAAGAGCCAAAGAAAGTAAAGCAACAACAACACAACAAATACAAACGTAACACAAAAGAATTGCAATTTTAATGAATAAATAATGAAAAGAAAATGAAAACTAATGGAGCAATAAAATGGTTTCTCTCCCCGCCCCCCTTTGCAATTCCCTACTGGAAATAGAAATAGGACTTGAGCCTCCTGCCTATTAACTCAGTTGCATGAGTGAAATTTCTCAAGGGCTATTAGAACAAGGAGAGGGGAATCTATCCCCCTTGTGTGCTCCACAAAAATAATGGCTGTGGTCTCCTCAGCAGGCTTTGCTGAGCTGATGTCCTCCAGATGCAGGGTGCCGGCTTGGTGAAAGTTACCCTACAATTTCTCTGGAGATCCAGGATTCTTGATCAAAGCTTGTCAGACAAACTCTAAAGCAGCATTTCCCATTTCATGCCTCATTAGGCCTCTGGCCACCTCTCACCATGTATATAAACTGCACCAGTCCGCCTTTCCCTTTATAGGATGATGGATGACTCTATGTTTCCCTATAGGCTTTGGATGCTTACTGATGGCTACTTTGACTGCTGTTAAAAGGGAACTGGGCTGGAGCACATTGGAGAGAGCGCCTTGGGGCGTTGCAGGATCTGGAAGGCAGAGGAACATGAGGGGATTTAGAGGGGAATCTCATGGATCCCACCAGGGCCAGTTCTAGATTAGATAGCAGAGTGTTCTCTGGTGGGCTTTCTTCTCCACTGGTGCCTCCTGGCAGACTTACCGTAACTTTTGGCTGCAGGCAGCAGCGTCACCATCTGCATGCGGTGGCTGTATTCTTCTGCCCACCGTGTTAATTGCCTACAATGCTCCTGATTTTTTATTTTGTTTGTTTGCAGTATTTTTAGTCATTTTGTGTGCTACGTTCTCACAGTGTAGCAAACACACATAATAATTAAATTGCTTTGGAATGCTGAAGCTAAGCACAGTATCTGGAGAAACCTGGAGAGCCTCTGCCGGTCCGTGTAGACAATACTGAGCTAGATTGATCAGTTGTCTGATTTGTTATTTAGAAGCTTCGGGTGTTCTATGTGTGTGATATCACTTGCAGTGAACAGCACAACTGCCTTTCTGCATCATTTTTAGAGTATTTACAAATATTTTGTGGAGGCTTGGTGCTCCAGGATGGATGCATTCATCTGGGCTTCTAACAATAACCACAAGGCAAACACTAGGAAGGCATTGATTTTCTGGAGTTGCCTCTTCGCCTCCTCTTAATAAATTGAGTTCCTTGAAGGCATTGCACTTCACTCCTCCAGTATCGAAGTCTACATCTTCCCTCATTTTAAGCGAGAACAGTATGGCTTCCTCCTACAAGAAAGTTCCTCTCCTCTGCTGCATAAGGACCTCATGCATAAGAGCAAGTGTGAAAGATGCATGGGGTTTGTCAGTCAGAAAGGCTGTAGGCATCCCCTGTGTCTCTTCTCAGGCCAGTCAAAGATGGCTTATCCAAACGGAGACATGCAACATATTCACAGCAGAATCCCCATAAGGAGCAACCACATGTCTTTCATACCTCTTGATAAACTACCGGAGTATGAGCATTCTTCTGTGTGAGAAAGAGTGTGTAAGTGTGAGCGTAACTGGTGAAGGGAGGCATAGTTTAGCAGAGGCATCTACATCCCTAGCATGTACATAATAACATAACATTTACTGCTGCACTCCAAGCCTTATCAGGTGGCGATATCTCAGTGAGCCTGACATGCCAGCTCCTCCTTGTTTCTGCATGTGGGGCACTGAGGTGCGGGAGCAGAAACAGCCAAGACCCATTAGTCCTCTTCTGCTCATAAGGGGCTGAATCCACATGCCACACGTATAAATCTTCTCAGGGGTTTTTTTTTAGGTCACTTTATTCTGACTCTACAAATCCCAGTGCTATCTCACGCCTCATAAATCTTCCCCATGTCTCCTAGTCACTTAGTTTTCCTCTCTTGGGCTTGTTAAGCAAAAAGGGTCAGAGTGTTTGAAATCTAGGTTGGTTTTATTTTCAGAGATTGATTTTTCCTCACCCCACTTTCTTTTAAATTGAGCTCAGAAGATTCTAAGGAGGGCTTGGAGTTTTGGAAAACCAAAGGGACCTTTTCACATGGGCATTTGCTAGCCATTACTTGACTTGCTGACAATTGCATTGTGGCAGTGTAGCAGTTTCTAATCTGATAATATTATCTCATATTTGCAAAGAATTGTCTCAACGCTGCCCATCCCTTAAGATTTTCCACAAAGATCCTGTTCTTTGTTTGCCCTGTTCTTTCTGCTGGGCCAGAAGTGCTGCGGGTTGGTGTGACAGGGACTTTTCTGTGGTAGCCCTGAAACAATAGAATGTCCTGCAAAAAGAAATGGCCTAATCCCTCCCTTTGGGTTGCAGTGTGAAGTGGACCTATTTAGGTTTCCAACCAGCTAACCATGATTTCCATCCTACAGTATACGCCATTCCACCCCCTCCCTTCTGGTTTGCCACCCCTCCCCAAAACTGTCAATCAGAATTCTGGGCCCAGTAAACAGGCACAGTTTTCATTCTGGTTCATCTTTGTTTTTTGCTTTAAATATATATCACTCCTGCTAACCTTGGAATTCCCCCTAGTCTGCTGATGCTTCCCTTCTGTTCATATATGCTGGCACACGGATCAACGCTCAAAGAATGAGATTGCTATTGTTAAACAAGACAGAGCAAACATGATTTCTTTCCTTTCTAATAATAATGGGATTATATAGGATAGGATTTTTTAAAATTATGTTTTTATTGATATATTGTTTTAATTTTCCTGTGACTGTTTCCCACTTTGTAGATACATTTTTACAGCGAGACTGAAAATTACTAAATATGCTGCTTGGCAGAAGAAAGTCAGATCAGTGTTGCTGTTCATTTGGAGGAAGGAACTGAAAAAATTGCAGCATCCAGAACGTGGCATAAAGGGCCAGTTCAAACCTTTATTTATAGGTAGAACAGAATTAGTAGAACAAGCAAAATTTATATTTTGCTTGTTCCACTAATTTGCCTGTCACCTAGGGACAGGTGATGATAAAATGTAAAGAATAAATAGAATATGGTGACTTAGTACAAGCTTAGAACAAGCTGATCACTGCAATGCTGAATGGGTAACTCAGGCCACCGCAAAACTGGAACTAGCCTAGGACAACCTTTTCTTGCAGCTCCCACATGCTCAGTGGTTGAGTGACTTGGCCTTGCTTCTTCCTGAAGGGACCCAGGAACTCATTGTGTCCCTTCCTCGCTCTTCCTAATGGCAGCTGCTTCTCCTTGCTCTTCCCTTCCCATTTGTAGACAAGAACAATGAACAGCAGAGAGAACCGGGAACAGTTGGGACTGGATCTTCCTGGCTCCCTCCAATAAGAAAAACAGTAACTGTAAGTTGTTGTGTAGTAGTAAGAAATCAAGCTCTCCAAAGGTTATTGTAATGCTTCTTGGAATTAAAGGCAACTACAAGTACATGAAGGCTTCTGTAGCTATGGTGACTCTTTAACAGCATAATCCTATGCATGTCTACTCAGAAGTAAGCCCCACATTGTTCAATTTGTGCGAGAACCTTTAGTGTCTGGAAGCAGTTTTGTAAGAGATGTGCACATAGTGCCCCCCCCCCCGGCGGCTATATTACTTAATTCATGCAGTTTTGTGTTGTGGCAGTAATGATTCATCCCACTAACATCTGAGAGGGGCTGAGGTGTACATTGGCCTTGGTTGGGGCACCTGAGATCTGGAGCCTCCTCCTCTATGAAGACTGCCTTGCTCCTGCCCTCCCAGTCTTTGGAAAGGTGGAAGGCACCATACCATTTTTTGGTTACACTTCACATCTTGCCTGACACTCAGAGTGGACTGTTTCAGGGCACTGTTCCTCTTGAGTAATTGTGGTTATTGGTTTTATTAGCATTTTCATGGTTGTTTTAATCACTTTTATGTGAGTCATTTGGTGGCGCCAAAAGCACATAGAAACATAGAAATATTTCTATAAATAAGCAAATAACACCATCATTAGGCTGGAAGCTCAGTGTCAGTAATCAAACTTTTAAAAACCCCACAGCATTTGAACAGTAGTGTCATAATAAATCAGAACGTTTAGCTAGCAAGTGGCTGGACCAGGCCCCAAAATTATTCCTACCCACCCCATTCAGTCAGGGGCTTGCTGAGACATTTTGGGCCTAGTCTGGCATCTGTAAAGGCTCTTCTGTCAGTCGAGACATGTGCCAAGCAGGCTCTCCTTTCCTTGGGTATAGAGCAGGAGCGGGGAATCTCAGGCACAAGGCCCAAATGCCGACCTCTGGCCCTTGGAACTCACCCCAAGTCATGCCCTCATGCTTTGTACCCCAAATGTTCTCGTCTGGTTAGAACAGAGCTTTCCAGACTTTTCATGATGGTGACACACTTTTTAGACATGCATCATTTTGCAGCATAGTAATTCGATTTCACTAGCAATCTGGAGGTTAAACTAACCCCTTTCCAGCCTCGGGTGGAGCGCGGGGAGCATTTGTGTGACACACCTACGCACTGCAGCAGACACAGTTTGGGATGCATGCATTTAGAACTGTGATAATGCCTCATTTGTCTGCATGGAGGATAGAGGGGGGGGCGTTATTTGTGTGTAGAAACTAGCCTATTGTACAAAAGTAAGACCAACATTCATTACTCTACCTGCTTTTGCCTCTTCCTACCACAGGCATGTGGCCCTCAGAGGTCTGCCCAGAAGGGAATCTGGCCCTTGGGCTGAGAAAGGTTCCCTACCTCTGATCTAGAGAAAGGCGATGGGTTATAGGACTAGGAGAAGTGCGAGAAGGGCAGGTGGAGATGGCTTTCAAAGTCACGGCCAGTTCTGTAGGAAGAGGAATCGTTTCCAAGCTCTTGTCCAGTCCCTCTTGGGAAAGTCTTGCATGGAGGGAGGAAGGAGAGCCTGCCTAGTGCTTAGCAACAGCAGCGAGCTCTGCGGCTTCTAGCCAAGGGAAGAGAATGAGGGCTGATGTTCAGAGACATAGCCACATAGTAATAGATGAGCTAATAATCCACAAAGGATGTTATGAGCAGAGGCAAAGTACTGGGGGGAAACGAGAGCCCACATGAGTTTGCAGTGGCTTCCTTGGGGATGGCAGCAGTTTCCCAGCAATATTTCTAGGCCTCCCATGTGCCCTGTCCCCCTACAACCTTCTAATTGGTTTGCTTCATGGTATTAAACCGCAGCTCCGAACAGAACAGATTGAAACACACCATGACACACACACACACTTTCTCTCTTGTTTTTGTTTTTTTTAATACTGCAGCTTTATTTGAATGAAACAGTCCATGTTGAGATTCTATAGGGAACACTGTTGTAGTGGATGGAGTGGGTGGGGAAGGTTTATAAAACATCTCACCCTGTTTCAAAGGTCCCTTGGGTCCCTTGTGTTTTGTGCTTTTAGGGTTCTCCCCCCCCCCAAATGTTAGATACTTGCCGGAAAGGGTTGACGCCGTCCCCTTGCTCTGCGTGGTGATGGAAATGCTTCATGAGGGAGCAGAGGAGGAGCATACAGTGGAGGTGAAACTGAAGGCAGGGAATGGCGCCAGATTCCCAGACGAGTGTCTCAGAATCCCAGGGAAGAGAGTGACAAACAATGAAGGACCACTTCGCACAATCCATTGACCCGGAGTCCCTTTGTTAACTGTTCCGGCAGTTCACATGATTCATTAGCCCATTTGGCTTCAGAGCAAAAAGGCTGACGGACTCCAGGAACGCTGCTAATGGTTGGCTTGAGCTGCTTCTCCCTTTAGCACTTTTTCCTAACGTGGAGGATTTAGTTATCATTCCTCTTTGCAGGCTACTGTACAAAACTGCATCATACTGATCTAGGAACGGAGCAGTTACCAATTGCAAACTCGAGCATGTGAAATGCGGCCTCAAGGCAGGTCCCAAATTTCTCTTCCTTCCAGTTCTGAGGTGCCACTGTCAATTAGGTGCGGGACGTTGGCTTCTTGACCTTGTATAACTTGGTAACTGGAGTTTCTATGTGAAGAGTGATTTTGCACAGAACTATTACCTGTGCTTGTAAGGGTGGCTGGGGAAACCCAGCCAGATGGGCAGGGTATAAATAATAAAATTATAATTATAATTATTATAATAATAATTATCACCATCATAATCATTATCATTATCTCTGTTACCTTGGCTAAAAGCAGCTTGTGGCAAAGGTGGAAGCTCAAACTAGGCACGATGCAGAAGAACCATCATTTTTCTAATTAGTGGCCCCATGAGGTGGATATGAAAATCAGGAAAGCGGTGCTCTGGGAGAGGGTGACTTACTACTCTTGCTCTCTGTACTATTTTTCTCAATATAAAGCCTCAAAGTTGCCATTAGCACTCTCTGTGTGGCGGGTGTGTGTGTTACATCTCTCAGTTTAGCTCCAAGAATTCAGAAATGGTTCACCTGTATGTAGTTCCCAGCTAGGGAACCTTGGAAATGTAATGATATAGAAATGTATCATGGTGGTTTCTTGAACTTGAAACCAGAGGAATGAAGATCTAGTGAAGAGAAGATACAAAGTTTTCTAATGCGTTAACATAGTGCATGTGTTACCACTTCTCCATCTATATAGTTGCAAAAGTCAAGCAGTCAGACCTATTTGGCTATCCAAATTCAACTATGGAACATGGGGAGACGTGCTCTTGATTTTGTAAGTGGCAAACCAGCCTTCTGATGTCTGATTTTTTTCTCTGCTTCCAGAGTCCTAACTCCCAGTACTTAGAGCCATAGAATTGTAGAGTTGGGACCCCAGGGGTCATCTAGTCCAACCCCCTGCAATGCAGGAATCCTGGCTCAGGACTTCCCAGGGTGGGCTCGAGCCACCAACCTTCTGGTTAACAGCCAGATGCCATTTGCATGTCCCAATTGATAATCTTCAAACCCTTCCATTCCAAATCCATCCACCGCCAGTCTCCTAGTGTTGGTGTGGAATGTATATGCTCAATTTTTGAAATATCACAGCCGGTCTCAAAGTCCTTGCACCTCAAGGATGTAGGAAACTAACTCTGCTTGTCCTTGAACCACATGGGCGGGCTGGCCCACATCCTGCAACAGAGCTCTCAATTGACCTCCCCTTGTGCTCTTAAAAGATGCGTTCACTGGAGTACCTTCTCTGTGTTGTTCCATATTAGAGGAGCACAGGTGCAAGGCATCTGGAAATACAATAGCTTTTTCAAAGACCCACTATGGGAGCCCAGATCAGAAGACGCAACACACTTTGATGCTGAGCCCTGCAGGGGATCAGACATTTTACAAGCAACCCACATTGAGGGGGAAATATAGCCTGATTTGCAGATTGTGTCACCGCTTCATTCATGCTTTGTGATTTAAATGGGCCATGGGGTAAAGCCTTTGCCCATTCAACATCCACCGTGAAGAGGTGTCAGAATGAGAGCAAGATGCTGCACACAGAGCATAGGTGAATGGATTGCCTGCTATTTTGGTTATTTATTTAAAAATATCCCTAAACCACCAGGGCCAGTACAGTAAATGAATGTAACATATGCACACATAAAACAATAGCAGCAGGGCAGGTAAGACAATGAGTCAGCAGTAGATCAAGTACCAACCTAAGCAACCTAAGCCTAGGTGAGAATATGTGCCTTCCCTTGGCACCAAAAGTGTAAGGAAGTTTGTGCCAACCATATCTGGGATGGAACAGCACTCTAAAGATGGGGCACTGCTACTGAGAAAGCCCTCTCCCAGGCTGCCCCATAACAGAAATTAAAAGGTAAAAAGGTAAAGCACCCCTGGACAGTTAAGTCCAGTCAAAGGCGACTATGGGGTTGTGGTGCTCATCTCGCTTTCAGGCCGAGGGAGCCGGCGTTTGTCCACAGACATGTGGCCAGCATGGCTAAACCACTACTGGTGCAATGGAACACCATGACGGAAACCAGAGTGCATGGAAACACCTTTACCTTCTCGCCACAGTGGTACCTATTTATCTACTTGCACTGGTGTGCTTTCAGACTGATAGGTTGGCAGGAGCTGGGACAGAACAGCGGGAACTCACCCCATTGCAGGAATTCAAACCGCCAACCTTCTGATCGGCAAGCCCAAGAGGCTAGTGATTCCCACGTCCCATAACAGAAATTATTATCAACTGACTACCTTTTAGAACCTCAAATCAATGAGCTCCTTTTTACAGACCTGATACCGACATGCTACATCCTTGGGCAGCTGTCTGGGTCCCAGCAGCACCCTCTACCAATGGCTGCCCTGGGATCTCCAACTGGCATCAGGCAGTGAGCGTCCGTTGACATTTTTCAGTTTCCCCAATATAGCATCTCTCAAGGGCTTCTTATGCAGTTCTGCCTACATGAAATGCTAAAATTAAACTATTGATTTTTTTTGCTGAATTGTAG